AGGGAAAGAACTCTTTCCAAGCGGGAAAAAAAAGGAAAAGGTGAGAAGACTTACCAAACGACGCCGTGTGGAAAGTGGTGATGTTATCGAATATGCTCTTCCCACCCGAAATGACAGTTTTGCCCTTTCCGTCTCCGATGAACATCAAGTTTATCTTTTTTCTACCAACCTTGAGGTTCTTCTCTTCGTACCTTACCATAACGCATACGTACAAAATATGTTAGTATTTCGCAATGTACGTGCACTAATGCATGCAATTTCACAAAAAAAAACATTGAAACTTCGTGAACTTTAGATGTCAATTTATAACATACATCGCAAATGGTTCGAACCCCACCCTTATCAAATCACATATTATAAAAAAAAACATACATCGCAAATCTAGATCGTTTTCCAAAAGTCCGCGTTAGTGTTAAATGAGAACGACATTTAAGTCGGTCATCGTCTTCTCTCGCATTGATTGAATGTACGTAATTAGTAAATTGAAATAATAAATAGAAATGTTTACCACAGAGAATCCAGTACATAATATTTAAATAAATATATATATATAATACCACATTGCGACAAATCAAACTTAATACGATTATAATATTTCAAGTTCCGTACTGGGCATTTACGTCATTTATGTAAATGTTACGCGAAGTGGTAAAAAGGTAATTTACCTCCCGGCCTTGACGTAGATAATTGTCCGGCGAGTGCTGCGCTCGGGAGCCTTCTTGATCGCCTCGGCGATCGTCTTGCACGTGCCGTTCCCACCCGGCGACACGATAATATCGGCTTGTATCCGCGATACGGGCATCTCCAATAACTCGCGCTCCCTCCTCCTCAACCATCCCGGGTATTTCTCGTCCCGCGATATCTCGCGGGGAGGATCTCGCCCACCCAGCAGCCTCCTCCGATTCTGAATCGGCACGCCCGAAAAATCGTCTCCTCCGCCGCTAGAGGAGAAGATCGCCAGACAGTTGCTCACCAGCTCCGACAGATTCTTCAGCGCCGCCGTCATCTGGTCCTTCACTCCGTTGCCTCCGCCACCGCCGTCTACGGCGTCGAATCCCTCGGTGCAGGTGTCGTGGTTCGTCAGCGCAGCGCTGAGCCACGTCACCACGTCGGCCGGTGCTGCCGGAGAGGCTCGTCCGGCGGCGGAGAGGGAGGATAGGGCACGGGAGAGGGCGTCGACGGAGTCATCGAGGAGCTCGAGGCAGGCGTCATAGGCGGACCTGACACGTGGCGGCATGTGGAGGAAGGAAATGCCTGAGGAGGAGTAGAACGCGCGAGAAAAGTGGTGGAGCGTCATGTTCACAGCCACGTGGACCAGATCTCGCGGCGTCGCTGCCGACTCGGATCCCGGGAACTCCATCAGCGAGTCCACGCACAAGTCCGGGAACCGGGTCAATCCGCACGCCCGGGAAATCGCCTGACTCGGTTTCCGAGCCAGACCAGGCGCGGGTTGACCCGGCTTGACTCGGGCGCGTAGGCCCGCGAAAAGTCCGGCGAATAGAATGAGAGCCACGGCGGCTACTCCGACACACGAGAGTACTGCAACCTTCCTTTTATTGTTCTTCCTGTTGATGTCGCTCCGACCAATCTCCGGTGGCGCTGACGTGGCGGCGTGTGGGTGGCTCGAAGCCATGGCGGCTTCCAACCCGGTTGCTCCGGATGGTCCGAGTCGCTCGTAGCCCATTGTTCTTGATTTGATAATGCCAAAAGAAATATGTCTCTTTTTTCCTCTCCGTTATTTTACATTCCAGACATATATATATTGTATATATAAATGTTTATATAACTGTGTGCCTATGAAGGACAGTGGAGAGTGTGGGAATTTATAAGACAATGGTGGCAGTGTGATTGTGGGGATACCCAGTCGCTCTCATTAGAAACCGCGTCATATTAACCATAAGTATTAATTATTATTCTATTTTTTTAACTCCTTAATTGTGTATTAAGCACACTAAATTGATCTGAAATAAATAATATTGATGAAATATTTAATCAGTAGAAAATCTAAATCTGTAAACTGTAAGTGCAGACTAATAATCATTTGGAAGGAGAGAGATGTGTGTGTGTGTGTGTGTATGTCAAAGAGCGTGAGCTGGCGTCTACAAAGACACAACACATTGCCCATTGGTTTGTCTGGGAAATAACAGTGGAACTGCTAGATTTTTTTAAACTCTTGTTCCCCATTTTATCTTTTTTACTTTTTACTAAATTTAGATTTCGACCCGTACACGTGATTTTTTAATAGAATTAGTTTAATGTCATCTCTGTAATTATTTTGATGTTGTAAGATATATTTTGGAAGTTTGTTGTCAATTTTACATATTGTAAAAGAGATTTGAGATCAAATGTAGAATTTTATGGATTATTTAGTCGACATTTGGCATATTGTACTGATTTCTATTATACCAATAAAAAGAATTCACATATCAATCTAAGAGTTAATGATTGAAAAGGTGACAAATTTATCGCATTTAATGATTCTAGATTCGATTTCACCAATAGAAAAGATGTAATTTTGGATCAAAATTGTCTATATATTGAAGTTGACCTCGGATCTAAGATAAATGTAATTAAATCGAAGACCGGTAAAACCATCTAGTTATATATAATAAAAAAAAGAAGAATTCACCTAACAGTTCGATTATGTTACTGTGCTCATGACCATTAAATTGTAGTAGTTTCTTTTAAATAGAAATTATAATTATAACACGTGTCATTTAATACGTAAGATTCACAGCGACAACTATAATTTGGCTTCTATCCTATCATCTGTTTTCATTTTTTCTTCACCTTATCAATTTCCCCATTTTTGTTTTCCATGGCCCAATGATTATAGTACTCATCGTTACTGAACTCATCGAACGCTCACATATACATACATATATATATATATATGTGTGTGTATATATATTGCAGTATGATTTTGCAGAACATACTGAGAATGATATATATATATATATATATATTGCAGAATATACTGAGAATGAGTTTTAGCCTAATATATTGGTTAATATTTAAATCAATAATAAAAGGCAACAAAATATAATCCCAGTTATAAAAAAAAATAAAATATAATCCCAGATCGCGAAGAAAAAGGAAAGCCAATTAATTTTCGATCTTTTTATTGTCTTGCATTGCGTGTGCAACTCGTGTGTGAACCGAACATTGACTGCAATTAATGCATGTTTAATCATGTAATAATTAGTAATTTATTGGCGGGAGTTTGGGTTGAATTACGTACAGCACCATCGTACACATAGGAAATGTTATTTATGTGAATTAGAATATCATGCCGATTAATATATAATTAACAAATACGTGGGCATGATATCGATTCCAATCAAAGATCTGAATCACATTCAAGTTGTCCGAAGGTTGAATAATTATATATATTTTTTTAGATGTACAGACTGACATGATAATTCAGCTATCTTTTAATTACTATACGTATTACATTTTCTATATAATTTTTTAAAAGTTGTTTTTTTCTAAACTAGCACAAAAAGTGAAATAAAAAACTGGCAAAATTTAATTTTTTGGAGGTAATTTTCGATACAAATATACGTACCTAAAAATTCAATTTTAAATCTTTTTATATTTCGCGAACTTTCCATCATGCGACGATTGTAGAATATACTCCCAAGATTTAATTAGCCAAAAATACTATACACTTTTTTCCTGTATTTAGATTGATCGCAGTTTCATGATTCCTTGATTTCTGATCCAATATTATGTGAATTATCAATCACCAAATAATTATTCTATGAGTTTGATGAATGAATTATAATTTTTAGTGAAAATGAATTAAAATGTAACACATATATCTACGTTATTTGAGCATGATTTTCCACAAAAATCAAACTGAAGGGGATAAGTGTATAAGTGTAATCCGGAAACTCAACAGTTAGTGATCTAATGGTTGAGAGATGACAAAGTCATCTTCAAAATCTTGGGTTCGATTCCACTCGTGAGAAGGGATGTAATTTCTGGTTCAAAATGGTTCATATACAAATATTTGTCACAGACTTAGGGTGGATATATATAGTCAGACCGCATACTCGGGAAACCATTTTGGTTATAAAAAAAAGTGTAGTCCGGAAACTACCATCTCGTGTACATATCATATATATATATATATATGCATATATTCAAATATTTAATGGTTCATATAGTTAAGGATATTTTAAATACTGAATATCTATATTCATAATATATCGTGTATATATATATAAGAATTTTCAATTCTGATTAGGTTTCGGAGTATTGTATATGATATCGTGAAGAAATGTGTCATTTAGATCATATATATATATATATATATATATATATATAACTAAAGGTATATCATTTCAATGCCTGCGGACCTAACTAATAGAAACGAAGAAAAGCCCTCGATGGCTGAAGAGTGTGACGTGCATGCACATAACACACACACACACATATATATATATACACATATATACATACATATATATATAATTAAAGTGACTATATATGCAATCAAATCAGTAGGAGATGGATGGTTACTCACCTCGGAACATTTAATTCAATAATGTTTGGAAAGCAGCCGTACTGGCTCCCTTTTTATCTTTTTGTTCGAAAAAGATGTTAACTTAATAAGTAAGTTAGATTGTCGACGAAGGAAACAATTAGGTCACGGACATTTCAAAATCCGAATTATTAAGCCCTAGTTGCCACATCCCAAACCTGACTAACCAAAATAATAACAATAAATTACTATATGTTATGTCATTGTATTACTAGTTATTAGCAGGTTTGTTAGATTGAAACTGTTTTCATGATCATTTGGGAGATTTTATTTAGGTAATGGAAGAATCCAAACGGACATATATCATCCAACTAATTAATTCTTAGGATTAGCATATTAATTATTTTTTTTAATAATCGAATGTTCTGACTAAAAACCGACCATTCTATTTAGATTATACGTTTTTTCTTAATTTTTCCAAACTTAAAATTTAAATTCGGAATAAAACATATGTTTTGTGTTCTGATTTACTCATTGAACTATTCTAAGTTTAGATATATTAATTGTTTTTTATGAGTGATCTTTATAAGATCAAATAAATTATAATACACACCACTATAAGTCATTATCTATTAAAGAAATGAGAGATAGGAAAGCATACGAAACTACATTTGCATATGAATATATGGGAATAGGCCACTTTTCCACCACTCCATTTGCGCCCAAAGGGAAAAAAAAAAAAAAGGTTATCCACCAGTTTCCCCAACAACGTGTCTCCACCATTTATGGGTTGGAGAAGTGTTCTTCACCCGAGCCCATATCGGGATGTTTATTTATAGATCTTAACATCTTATTTTAAATTTTTACATTTGGAATATTTGAATTTTTTGTATTTAAATTCAGATAAAGAAATAAAAGTTAATTTTTATTTTATTTTTTTTGAACATTTATTAGGATATTTTTTTTACCTAACAAAACGAAGATAATTTTATATTACTTAAAAAAATAAGGATGTTTTAGTAATATTTAATGAACATAAAATATTGTTTTTTAATATGTCGGGTTACCGCGGGTATCCGATAGTAAAATAATGGAATGTAAATTTGACCTACGAAACATCTTGAATTACAGAATCGAATTCGAAATAAAATTGTTTTGGAAACCTGATTTTAGTAAATCCGTTTTTCATGATACTATAAAAATCGTATATAATTTTGTCAATATATACCTCGATTGAAATAGCGAAAATTCTCCTTCGCACCTTTGTTATTTGATTTAACATTTTTATTATTGGATTTTTGGGACGAGTCTTCTCGGTCACTCAATCAATGTCAACTTGTGCCCTCGTTATTCGATTCAACCCTAGATTTTTTTATATTCATGTGTTGTTGTTTACAACATTCCCCATGCTGATCCTACTTCTTAAAAAAAATCCCAGAATTCAATAAAATTTTGGGAAAAAAATAAAATAATCTATAAATCATTGCAATATTATATGAATCATTATTGTAATCCGGTATAATTTCAATTTGATATTAGTCAGACAGTCTCATGGGCTGTGCAACTATTTCAGCTCCATAGGATAGGATCCCACATTCATGAGAGTTTGCATTAAAAAAATTTTAATTATTTTTTTATATTTTATAACTATTTGACTCTGTTGTTGATAACCTATTTTATTTTATCAATTTCAAATATAATTTACGTTATCAGAGATGTGGACACCCATAAATCGAGAAATGGTCCAAATTAAAAAAAAAAACACACATATATATATATATATATATAATATTTAGGCCCGCAAAATTTTACTTTGGTTAAATTAATATGTATTACCATTTACGTTATCAGAAACTGTTTGAGACGAGTCGGTACCACAAACTTATTTACGTTACATTAAATTGAATCCAACAGTTGATGGTCCAGTTGCTGAGAGGTGACAAAATCATCCTCAAGGTCTTGGGTTCGATTCTACTGGTGGGGAGGGGTGTAATTTCTAGACCAAAATGATCCATATACAAAGGTTGGTCTCGGATCTAGGGTAGATATAGTCAGATCGAATGCTTGGAAACCATCCTGGTTATCAAAAAAAATTGAACCAGACTGAAATTATACTGCCTTAACCGACAGTACACGAAGCATATATCGTCGGCTTAAAATAAACCGGTTAACAAGGAATTTTTTGTTGTTGTCTGAAAATGGAAACCGGAGCTGATTGGCATGAAAATCCGGTTTAACCGTCACAATCAACAAGAAGGGTAAGATTGTATTTTGGAGTGATTAGTCCAGGACCAAGTAGCTTTGTTTAGCATTAATTATTTATTTTAAAAAAGATGGTACATTTAATACGCTTTTGCTAAGTTCGATATTTTAAATCTCGTTGAAAAGATTTTATTCGGAGAAAAAAAGAGTTAAATCATTTTTAATAATATATCACTAGAGATAACGGAATATTCTGGGCTAAAAATCACAAGAGAATAAAAAAGAAAATTCGGCATTTCAACCAAAAAAAAAATCGCCATCTTTAATTCACATCAAGTGGATGCTTAAACGAATTCATGAATCGAATAGATCCTCCAGCCTTTTTATTAAAAGACCAAAAAAAAAGAATATATATATATATATATATATATATATTATAATATACACACAGTCACAGACCCAAAAAGGAATATGTGTATATATATATCAATTAAACATATATATTTTCTCCTACATAAATTTTTTGGATATGCAGAAATTGAAAATTAATTAGAATATCCTGAATATTATGTCTATCAACCTGGTTTTCCACAGAAAACCCATAAATTGTATAAAAATGGCAAATAGAGAAAGATTAGGGGGGCAAATTAAATGAACATATAATATAAATGATTAGGTCCAATTAATCAAGAAACATATGCATGTGACGTTTTCTATATCCTCGGGGAACATACAATACAACCGCCGCTGAATTGGGCCATGCGAAATGCCATATCATGTGATTTGCTCTTCATGATTTTGAAAACAGCATTTAATATGGAATAATATCACTGTTCAACTCATAGGTAACAATCGCATCTACAGCTAGCTATACAAATATATCTAACATAAAACTTAATACATAGTATTGTATATATATAATTTTAAATGGATAAATACTTTGGGTGTTTATGGAAAACAAGTTTTTATGTAATACATTTGCATATTCTCCCCCCATACTTTAGCTCTTGAGATTTTTTTTAAAAAAAATTATCATTATATTTATTTCTCAAGCTTTTTGTGGAACAATTTCTTACAATTTCAAATTTCATTTCTACATCAAAATTTAGTTTTTGGTATTTGAAATTTATTTTCTATAGTTAGTTTTTTTTTTCATTTTAATATTTAGTTTCTCTAAATTGTGTTTGAGAAAACAAAGGTTTAATTATTAATCCATGACCACATTTTGATAATGAGCTTACCATCTATATTCAAAGATTTATGGCCCAATTCTATTTATGGGTAGTGGCCCATAGTTACATTATCATTATTCCTTATTTCATTTTTTTTTGTTTTATTAATTGAGACTTTATTTTGTCCCAATGAAATGTTTTAAATGCGTCACTTTCATAGATTGCAAGAAAAGAAAACATTTCTACGAGATTGAATATTCACTGTAGGGGAAAGAGAAGAGCCAGTAAAAATAGAGAGAGAGAAAAGTTTACAGTGAGTAAATTAAAATATATGAAAACAAAACTATGGAATGGGAGGAAATGAGATCTGTCTAATTCCGTACAAAACAACTAAAAGGAAGTCAATGAGGAAAACAAAAGCTTATTATAAATTCAAAATAATTAAATATCAGTATGTATTATTCACTCGGTCTATTTTGACGCCAAATTTCATACGAATGATTAAAATAATTGAATGTCACTGATTAGATAAAAATTCAGCAAAAATAAAAAATACCCATGAATCTCATCGAATAAAATTTATATTATTAAGCATATAATAACATGGTTGACAAAGATATAAGCCAATATACCTCGTAAGATATAGATGTCAAATTGGGTTGGATCCAACGACCCAATTATTATTATATTTGGGTTATAATTATTTTATGGGTTAAATATAGGTTATAACCCATTATTTGTTTATATATATATATATATAAAAGCATTGGTCGATTGAAGCTTTAAATTCACGTCTTGATGCCTACGAAAGTCCATTGCATCACATGATGCGCAAATTACGTGGTGCATTAGGTATAACTAACCACGAACGATCCATGGACGCACATTATTTCGGAAAAAGCTTATACAGCCCAATCTCCCCCCATATCTCTGTGATGTCATCCTTTGTTTTCTCGTATACGTTACAATCAATCCATTCATATTAAACAAGTAGACAAAATGAAAATTTGAGATATTGTTTTTTTGGGATTTTTCCTAATATAAACAAATAACGTGCAAAATAAATTTCGCATATATATATATATATATATATATATATATATAGCGAGGAAGTGGCACCACCACACACAGTGATACAATTGGGTAGGGAGAGAGAGAGTACAAGAGAGTAAAAAGAAAGATCGATATGGAGATAAAAACAGGGAGAGAGATGAAGGACGAAGAGGAGGAGGAGGAGGAGCCGCTGAGTCCGGCGGCGCGTTTCTTCCACGCGCCGGAGTTCAACTGTTACATAATCTCCATGATGGGCTGCAAGATCAGGATCGACGTTGATGTCATCATCCAAGGCTTGAAGCAGACTTTGATCAGACACCCCCGTTTCTCCAGCAAATTGGTTCCTCTATACTTGCACATATATTCATCCACATACACCCACATATACGTATAATGATATTATATCACATACACATATAGTACATATATATATATATATGTCTGTGTATTAATTATGCTAAATTTATTAGCAATAGGTCCGACATAAAAAAAGGAAAAAAGATAGATATGAAATAAATTATGTTGCAGATCAAATATCAATAAAGAGGCATTTAACATCACCGATTAATACATATTGGCTTTCTATATCCCAGTGACAATTTATGTAATTAATGCGCACAACATGAATATCGATTATTACAAATTAAAATCCTTGCATGCATGCAACTCTCTAGATGTCTAAATTTTTTAACGTATACATATACTGGGAACGTGAAGGTGGTGGACGGGAACAAGACACAAAAGCACAGATGGGTACGGACGGAAGTGAACGTAGAAGATCATGTCATCGTTCCAGACATCACACCAGACAACATAGAGAACCCAAACGAGTTTCTTGAGAACTACGTCTCGAATCTCACTACGGTTCCTCTGGACATCTCAAGACCGTTATGGCAGCTTCACATCCTCGATATAAAGACCGAAGAAGCAGAAAGCTTCGGTGTTTTCAAGATCCACCACTCCATCGGAGACGGCATGTCTCTCATGTCTCTTATCCTCGCTTGCACCCGCAAAACCTCCGACCCGGATGAAATCCCGAGCCTTCCCTTTCGAAACCGGTTTAAATCCCGGTTTACCGGTTTGAGGAGGGAACATCGGTTCTGGTGGTTCGTTTCGGTTATGTGGTCTGTGATTCTGTTGGTTCTGAACACCATTCGTGATGTTTTGGAGTTTATTGCCACAGCATTGTTCCTTAAAGATACAGAAACTCCGATTAAAGGCCGGAGAGGAGGGTTAACTGAGAATAAAAGGAGACGGTTGGTCCATCGAACCGTCAGCTTGGACGATATAAAGCTAATCAAGAACGCATTGAAGATGGTAATCTCACAACTTATCTTTTGTGAATCGTATTTATTCTTAAAATTTAGGTTTTACCCATAATATATAGTTTCATCGCTAACTATATTTCCTTTTTTTTGTTTCGGTTTATTAGACTGTCAATGATGTAGTACTTGGTGTAACCCAAGCCGGTCTCTCGCGGTATTTAAATCGAAAATACGGTAATTAATGTCCTTCGTATTATTCACTAGTAAATTTATTCTTATATATATATATATATATATATGGACCTATTAATTTCATCTTTAACTATTGCACGATTATATATAATAGGCGAAACGGAGACAAAAGAAGAAGCAAAAGATTGCAATCAAGATAACCTACCGAAAAGAATACGGCTAAGGGCTGCGATTCTCGTAAACATAAGGCCGAACACAGGAATTCAGGCAAAACCCTTCTCTCCATTCTCTTATAAGAACACTTGCTTATCGAATGAATGATAAGACATGTAGCTTATACCGGACAAAAGTGAATTTCTGAGATCAATTAATTTCATATATTGAACAGGATCTAGCCGACATGATGTCCAAAGGATCCAAGTGTAGATGGGGAAACTGGATCGGATACGTTGTCGTGCCGTTCTATATCGCTATGTGTAGTGACCCGTTGGAACATCGGAAGAAGCATTCTCTCGAGGCCTTCTTGACGTTTACCGTTGGGCAGTTCTTTCTTGAAACGATTGGAGTTAAGGTGAGGTTTTTGAATGACAAAAACAACATGCAAGTCTCATGCATGTTTATTTATTGATTCATTCTAGGATCGGATATACAAATGATAAGCTTCTAAACAACCTATATATGATATCATCGATCGGTCCATTTATTCAAATCGTGCATGGTGGGAAAACATAGGCACGTACATTAATTGTCTATGATAATTAATAAACAGAATACATTTATATGTTTATTGTTTTCATATCGATCTTCCTCCGTTTTTTTTTTGTTTTATTTTGTAAAAAGGCGGAATGTGATGGTTAGGTTAACATCGTATTCTTCTGCCAGCCATATTACATTATATATGCGCATGTGATTCGGTGGTACAGTTAAACATGTCTGCCCTATTGCACATATACAGTTTTGTTATTAATCACAAAATCCAATGTTTCGTGAATATTGACCTAGTTTGGTAATTCTTTTTAGGGAAAAAACCCTAAAAATTCATGAACTTGTATTTTGGAGTAATATTAATTCCTAAACTTGTAGAGGTGCCTATTAATTACCAAACTTGCAAAATTAAACATGTTAAATCCTGAACTTGTTAAACGGTCTCATATTCGTTCATAGCGTTATTTGGTCAAAAAAATGAGTTGACCGATCCGACGTGGCGCGCCACATCACACGCCACGTTGGATCGGTCAACTCGTTTTTTTGACCAAATAACGCTATGGACAAATATAGAACCGTTTAACAAGTTCATGATTTAACGTGTTCAATTTTTCAAGTTTGGGAATTAATAGGCACCTCTACAAGTTTAGGAATTAATATTACTCCAATATAAAAGTTCAAAGTTTTTTAGGGTTTTTGTGAATAAAATATAAGTATCTTTTAATTTCTAAATTGTTTATGAATTGTTTTAGAAAAAAATTATATTAAAAAGAATATAATTTCCGTCAGAAAATTTTGAAAAAAAATGAAAGGGGGTAAATAACGTGGACCCACCAAACTTATATACTTAATTAAGACGTGCATTTTTTAAAAATATTCTCCAAGTAGAAACTAATAACATTGCCAAAAAAAAGTCTCAACATTCAAATGAATATTTTTTCAACTTTTATTTCTTTTCTCTCAGTTTGTGAATGAAAATAAAATTGTGAACTGTTCTTTTGAATAAATATTCATTTATCGTAGAAATTATATGAAATTTAATATGATTTTCAATCTCGTTAGGAAGAGTAGAAAGAAAAAAAA